AAATCCCCAGCCCCCTGAAATCATTTTCTAAACCAATGGGAAGGAGCTAGAGCTGGGCATGGTGACACATACCTGTGATGCCAGCACTTAGAAGGCTGAGGCAGGAGGAACAATTTGAGACAGATTAAGCTACAGAGTAAAATCTTGTCTCAAAAAAACCAAGGAAGAAAAAAAGAACAGAGAGAGAAAGGGAGGGAGGGAGAGAGGGAGCAGAGTAGGCAGGCTTTTTATATTTGAATAAAAAGGGTTACATGAGAAAAAAAGAAAAAATTTCCATAAAAACTAAAGGGTCGGATATTTGGCTCAGCTGCATAAGCGCCTACCTGACTAGCATGAGGTTGTGAGTTTGATCCCTGGCACCAAAAATAAAAAATAAAGGTCTAGGGACATAGCTCAATGCACAGGCCCTAGATTCAGTCCCAGTACTGTACTGTCAAAAAATTTTCAAGTAGTAAAAAGGATAAGACTCAGAAACTATCACAGACTACAAAAGATTAAAGAGACCCGATCCCTGAAGGACAGAATCCTGGATTGTGTCTAGGAACTTTTTAGAATATTTGTGGGAAAATGGGAAATCCAAATAAAATCTTTAACAGTGTTATGCCAGTTGTAATTTCTTAATTTTACTAAGTGCTTTATAATTATGAAAGACATTAATATTAGGAAAAACTTGGGGAAGAGTATGTGAAAGATCTCTGTGCTATGTTAATCCTTCTGTAACTCTAAAATTATTTCAAAAGGATTTTTTAAAAAATCATTTGAAAAAAAATCATGTGAGCAGTACTCAAGAAAATTTTTAGAACATACCTTCATATCCACCAACCTAGGGAAATATTCATACATATCCAAGAGAAAGTATATAAAAATGTGTTCAATGTAACATAGTTAGAAACAAACCACACAAAAAACATGCATGTGCACATACACACACAACATCCATTACTTGGATAATGGTTGAATAAATAGCCAGGTACCACACTTGTAATCCCAGCACTCGGGAGGCTGAGGCAAGAGCACTGCCACAAATTCAAGACCAGCCTGGGCTACATAGTTCAAGGTTGGCCTGAATTACAAAGTGAGACCCGTCTCAAAAACAATAATAAATAAAATGGCTGAAGATATAGCTCAGTGGCATGCCTGTCTGACAAATGCAAGGTCATGAGTTCAATTGCTGGCACCAAAAGAAATAAAAAAATAAAACAGCATAAGCATATTAAGTGTGATATATAAATATATATATATACATATATATATGCAACATCTACATAGGCATATATATGTAAGTGGAACAAAATGAAAATGTATACACTAGGTTTATACAAGGTGACCTCTGGAAAGAGGACTATTTTGTTCTGTTCACCGTACAGAAAACTGAACTCAGGGGCACTCAACCACTGAATTACATCCCTACTACTTTTTATTTGATACAAGGTCTCACTAAAATTGCTGAGATTGGCCTTGGAATTCTGATCCTCCTGTCTCAGCCTCTTGAGTGGAGACGTACCAACTCAACCAAAGGAAGAGAGGACTGTTACTGGGGAAGAAGGTCTTATTTGAGAAGGACTAGAAAGAGATCAAGTTAAAGGAAACTTCTGCTTTTCATTTTATGTATTTCTGCAATGCTTTAACTTTTTTCAATATTCTTAAGTTAGTTTATTAAAAACCTAGGGAGACAAACATTGCATTTTTTTTCTTTTATTTTGTTCTTTAGAGTCTTTTTGTTTCTTTTTTTGAGACAGAGTCTTACTTTGCAATTCAGGCTGGCCTCCACCAACCTTCCAGCCTTAGCCTCCCAAGTGCTGGGACTACCTGGATTTACATTTTACACAGTATAGAAACTCTGGAGTCTGGGGCTATAGATTAATGGTAGAGTGCTTGTCCAGCACGCAGTCACTTAATCCCCAGAGCTGCACAGAAAAAATGAGTAATTTGATTCTAGTTTCAGCAGAGAATATATCTGAAACATAACAAAGTGCTATCAGTGACCACCTTTGAGAAAGAACTAGGGACACTTCATTGTTTACTTCAACCTAGTTCAAATTTGTACTCTTTTAAAAGTACTCTTAGGTAAGTACCATTATGAAAGTGTGTAACAAATGCATAAACCAAAACAAGCAGGATTTGCATCAGGAAGAGACTCCCACCAGCTTAGAAGGTACTGCAGGGCAGGGTTCATGGATTAGGGACAGGCACAGGGGAAGGGGTGCCCTAAAAGGCAGCAGAGTTCCAGAGAATGCTAGTGTACAGAGCAAAGGGCCTTCAAGAGGGATTTGAATATCATCAGTTCCAAAATACACATGAATGTACTTCTCATTACTAATTCCATGAAAATAACCAAATTTAGATTTGCATACAACTTTCTGAATGTTCTTTTTAAAACTAGTATCCCACTCCAAATCATGACATGATGAAATAAGCATGTGTACCTATGTAAAACCTGACAATATATTCATCAGTTCAAGGTAAAATTCTAAATTAATAATTACATATTCTCCTGTCCTCATCTGTCTTCCTTTGACCACACCATAAATCCAACTTGCAATAAACATAAAAACAATACATCAACTACATATCATAAATAACAAAAAGCAGACTTTCCTAATTCAGTTTTCAGATAAGATCAGGCACATTTCACAGTGGTATGGCCACAGACATTTTTTTTAAATGCATATTACGGCACTTAGAAACAAAAGTCTTCTTTTGACTTTTGAATGAAGAAAGATAATGCAAATCTCAGCTATAACTAGATAGTACAACTAATTCTTAGAACTGAATTAAACACTAACAATAATTGAGCAGTGATACACATCTGTAATCTCAGCCACCCAGAAGGCTGAGGCAGGACTATAAGGTCAAGGTCAGCCTGGGTAATTTAGCAAGACCCTATCTCAAAATTTAAAAATTTCAAAAGAGCTTGAAATATAATTCAGTGATAGACTGCTCTTATCCCTAGTACCACCAAAAAAAAAAAAAAAAAGCCAATATAAAATAGTGCAGCTGTAGCCCAGCGAGATAGCACACTGTAATTCTAACACTCTGGGAAACTGAGGCAGGAGAATCTCAAGTTTGAAGCCAGCCTGAGAAATTTGGGTTTTTTGTTTTTTTGGAGACAGGGTCTTGCTATATAGTTCAAGTTAGTCTTCAACTCACTATGTAGCCTAGGCTGGGCCCAAATTCATGGCAATCTTCCTGAAGGGTCATACATGGTTGGAATTGACTATAAACCTGTAATCCCATCATTCAAGAGGCTCAGGCAAGAGGATCACTGAGTTGGAGAACAGACTAAGCTACGTAGCAAGACTCTTTCTCAAAAACTCAAAATCCTCTTCCTCTATTTCAATACTGTTTAGCCTATTTCAAACAGGAACTTATACTCCACAATTAGTTATCATGTGGTCCTGCTAATTAAGTAACAATTCTCCTTACTAGCAAGCTAGGGTTGTTCTTTAGAGTTTAGTTAAGTAAAAAACTTCATATTACATCTGGAAGTCCCCCAAACCTCCCAACAACTTGTGCCTAACCACAAATTGGTCATAGGATAATGGCTGTAGAAGCTGCCGCTAAGCTAACAGCTGTTTGCTGACTATTATCATCAGACCAGCAAAATGTTTTAAGGGCCTAAAGCCCTTGCAGTATGGAAAAGATGATGCGTATTTTCAGGAACCCACACAGAAGGCTGCCATCGTGGATGTGAACAAGGAGAGTAAATGGTGGCATCTGCCCTATCCTTACCATCTAGCACCTAAAGATAAAAGTATTTTCAAATTTTTAAAAAACATTTTAGATATAGTGACTGAGGCAGCACATACCTGTAAACCCAGCAATCAGGAGACTGAGACAAAAAGTCACTCAGTTCATGGCCAGCCTGGGCTATGCCATGAATTCAAGACCAGCCCGAACTACACAGTAATACCCTATCCCAAAAAACGAAACAAAACCAGAGCTAGACAAGGTGGCATATACCTGTAATCCCAACAATCAGGAAGCTGAGCCAGGAGGATTGCTGTGAGTTATATACAACAAGACTCTATCTCAAAAAATGAACAAAAAATTCAGAGCCAATTCAATTGTCTACCAGTTGGCCTGAGTTTCAGAGAAACAATTTCCAAGGTAAGTATGGGCTCATTAAGTCTTCTATAAGGCCCACAAAAAATGGCGTAATAGCCTGAAATCACAATGAAGACCATTAATTTTATAAGGCAAAGTGCTGGGATAACTAACCTCTATGTGATATTTCGGAAAAATAAAATGGGAAATGAAACCCATTCTAAGGGACAGTTCATTATACCTACATTAACCTACTATATTTGACATTATGTGACAACTTATATATGGAAGAAAAAAAATAGATTCAAAGAAATGACTTCAGGGGCTGGGGATTTAGCTCAGCGGCATAAGTGCCTGCCTTGCAAGCAGGCAGTCGTGAGTTCAATTCCCGGTACCGATAAAAAGGAAAAAGACAAAACAAAAAACAAAGAAATGACTTCAGCCGGGGAAGGTGGCTCACACCTGTAAGTAATCTCAGCATTTGGGAGGCTAAGGCAGGAGGATTGTTGAGTTCAAGACCAGCATGAACTACCAAGTGAGCTCAAGGTCAGCCTGAACTGCATAGAGAGACCCTGCTCAAAAAAAAAAAAAGAAAAAAAGAAATGACTTTGATCAGTTTGCTCAATCTGTGTATGTATTGCAGGTACCTGTTATAAATATTTATAGACTACAAGGCCAGATGTGATGGCAGGGCTATAATCCCAGCACTCAGAGGCTGAGACAGGAGGATTGCTGAGGCAAGAAGATTGCTGCAAGCTCAAGTCCAGCCTGACTTACATTGTGAGTTTAAGGCCTAAACTACAGCACTACTCTGTGTCAAAACACTGAAAGGGAAAAAAAAAAAAGCACACAAAAGGCACTTAAAACTTTAAGTAAATGGAGAAAAAGCAGTAACCAATACACAAAATATTTTCAATTGAAAAAGCAGGACTGGCAACTGCGATAGCACATACCTGTAATCCCAGCACTGGGAAAACAGAGACAGGAGGATGTCCATGAGTTAAAAGTCAGCCTGGGCCACATTAGCCAGTTCAAGGTCAGCCAGCATCACATAGTGAGACCCTGTCTCGAAACAAACAAAAAAGCAGGACTGGGGAAATAGCTCAGTTCTAAAGTGCTTGCCTAGCATGGATAAGGCCCTCAGTTTGATTTTCAAGCATAGCAAAAGACCCAAAAAATTAAAAACCCTGAATTCCTGGTGGTGCATGCCTGTAATCCCAGCAATCGGGACGCTGAGGCAGGAGGATTGTGGCAAATTTGAGACCAGCCTGGGTCACAAAGCGAGCTCAAGACCAGCCTGAATTGCATAACAAGACCCTGTTTCAAAAAGACAAAAAACAATTAACACCTGAATTCCAACAAAAGGCAGCAAAGAGTTACACAACTGACATTTTTATAGACACACTTTGAAAACAATAATCTACATTTTGCACCTGAATGGAAAGATCTATATTACAAATGGTACCTTCCACACAGGATACATGAAAAGTGAATAAAACATTTCCTGTATTTTTGGTACCAGGAATCAACTCAGGATCTCAGTCTTGTCGCTGGCGCTATACCACTGAGCAAAATCCTCAGCCCAACAATCCCTTTTGAACCCTTTCCACTACCAGTGTCATGCTAATAATACAAAAAGTCAGTAAAGGAAGTCAGTAGACTGTCTCCTATAAGATCAAGTGCTACCTTCAGGTGAACATGTGATGAAATGACCATTTTAAAAGTAACTGTGCTGCCTCAAAAAATTAAACACAGAATTACCATAAAATTCCATGTATATACTCTAAAAACTGAAAGCAAGAACTCCAACAGATTTTGTACACCAAAGTTCAAAGCAGCATTATTCACAGTAGTCAAAAGGTGGAAAGCAACCTAACTGTACACTGAGAACATATAGATAAACAAAATGTAAAGCCTGGCCCAGTTGAGTGTACATGTAGCCTGAAGCAGGAGGATCATTTGATCTTAACAGTTTGAACCCAGCCTGGGCAAAAGAGTGATACCTTACATTAAATTTAAAAAAAAACATGAGGTCATGAGTTTAATTCCTGGTACCAAAAAAAAAAAAAAAAGTTTTTTTTTAAAAAAAGGGGTCCTGTGATTTAGCTCAGCTGCATAAAAAAAAGGCACTCAGGGCTGGGGATTTAGCTCAGTGGCTTAAGGGCCTGCCTGGCAAGCTCGAGGTTGTGAGTTCGATCCCTGGTACCACAAAAAAAAAAAAAAAAAAAAGACAACCAGACTGCTGGACTAATATGTTTTACTTCTAAAAGAAAAGCAAAGTGGATCCAAAAGAGTGACATTTAATTTCCAGCTTTAATATAGAGGCTCTATAGTGGGAAACTTTTGAACAATTTTTAAAATAGCTGTACATTCAGTCTTTCTCCATTGTTATTAAGTGGCTTTGTCCAAGTTATCTAGCCTGAGTCTCATCTGAGAAATAGGGATAATATAGCTATCTGCTAACATAATATATATATATATATATATATATATATATATACATATATATATATATATATGTATATATATATCTCACACAGAATTCAGTCCCTAGATATAGAAAATCTCAAAACAAAATTTCCTTCCTGTCCACCATTCACTAGTATCTGCAGCCTAAGCAATTCCCAGAGGCTGATGTTTTGGCTCCTCAGGGCCCAGCTGTTTCTCCTCCTTCTAGTTATTTCATTAAGGGTTTCTAAGAGGATCAGGTCTATGTTTAGAGGTAACACCAGTATCAACTGTGGACTCAACAGGTGCTTGGAGAGCACTTGAACACTGAGCAGTTTTCAATTGTTTTCCAGTTAATTAACTGGTTTTGGCTTCTCAATCAGCTGTCTTGACATCTACAAGTAAAAGTGCCACATATGCATAGTGCTTCAACAGTACACAAAATAGAAAATCAAGTGTGATCACCGTGAACAAGATGTTTTTAAGCCTTTTTTTAATCAGGTCCCAAAAGCTTTGCTAAATTACCAGAACAATAACTTTCTATAAACTCTACAAGTATAGCCTACTAATCCAATCTTTATCACAATCACTGATATATCAGATCCAAGGTTCAAATAGTTCATGCTGATTTACTACAACTAAGGTGGGAATGGAATAGAAAATCAGATAGTGAAGACCTAGGGCTTTCAGCAGAGCTCAGTCTGCGTACAGCTGTTATTCACTAGTTCTGTGCCCTTCATTGTTTATGACAAGGGAACAATTGTGAGGATTAAATTAAATGAGGTAATCCACACAAAAAAAATCTTAGCACCTTGCCTAACCCACTGAAAAGAGTCAATAAAGAACCACGTCACATCCAGTCCTGGTGGCCCACTCCCTGTAATCCCAGCACTCCACAGGCTGAGGCAGGAGGAGAGCCCCCAAGTCATCCAGGCCAGCTAGGTGTACACAGTGAGTTCAAGGACAGTGGGAGATACAGGGAGAGACTCTGCCTCAATAAATAAATACATCACTAAATAAGGACATTGCATTCATTCTTTGTTCAGTTCTTATAAGTAATATCTAGATCATTATTTTTGAACCTTTATAAAGTAGCCTAAAGCTACCACCAGAGACATAACTGAAACACATACTGATGAATGTACACAAATCTTAAGATGAGTCAGCAAAACTTATGCCCAATATATAAAAAGCTTAACATAGACTATTTATAACCACATAATGGTAACTGCAGTTTCAAAATCAGCAGTATTCTATTTAGTACTATCCCAAATTTAGACCGAATATGCAGGTATTAAAATATGCAAAGATCAGAACCTATAGAAGTACTTTACCACAATATTCCCAAATCACCTAGGACAAACTGGCAGGCACGGGGCACCCTGATAATTTAGAACAGTCATCAACAATCAATTTCTTAAGACAGAATTCCAACTCTCCCTCAAACATAAAACTAGTAAAAATGTACCTAGACATTTCTAGGGAGAAAATGCAACTCGAACAAAGTATAGATAACTCAGATTTTATCAAAGCTATTCATCACTTTTAGATCCAGCAGAAAATAAGCTCTGGGTTCTTCCCCAAACACCCCAATCTCTGTATCATCACTGATTTAACTCAAAGCAAGATACTTTGGTGAATTGTCCTCTCGTTTCATTTATAGAGAAAAATTAAATACAGTTAACTTGCTAAACAGGGAGGAAATAATTATACGTCCATCCTAAGACCCACTTTCTGAAAAAAACCCAATCTTGGATGAATTAGAGTGTGTACCTAACCTACACACTCTGGCTCTATCATCTGCTTTAATTCAAGCCCAAACCCTATCTATTTTATTTCTCTGCCTCTCAGCGTTGTTTTCTACCCCACTTCTCTCTATCAATAAGAATGCCCTTCTCAAATCCTAGGGACCTGGGACACCCACACAGATGACCTCACGCATCCCCATTTCATTGTACTTCACACCGCAAATGAACTCAATCTTTCGATCCTGCTCCTTTCCTAAAATACAATACCCCACACAAGCTCACACCAGAGTCCCCACTTACTCCATTGTTTCCCTGGCCTATTCCTTCTGGAAACTCCCCAACTCGGGACCGAGTGCGCGACCGCCTCACTAACCCCAGAAACCCTCGACCCTCAAGGCGCTCCCGTCCCAAAAGACTCCTTCTGTTCCCCAACCCCCAACAACAGCTCCCTCCCCATTTTCCCCGCTCGAGCCCGCCTTCACCTCCATGCCCCTCTCGACGCCGCCAACCCTTTCGCCCAGCACCCCCAGCCTCACCTAGCCCGGGGCCGCAATCGCCGCGTCCTCTCAGTTCCGGGCTCTGACTCCCAGACGCTCCCGGCTCTAAGAGGAAAGGGAAACCTTCCGCCTCCTTCTCCTCAGCTTCAGGAGCCGCCGCCGCCGCCGCCGCCGCCGCCGCCGCCGCCGCGCTCCTCCCCCACCTCTCTCAGAGCCGCACGTCGCCCCGCCCCCACAGCCTCTTCCCCCTCTTTCCTAGTCTGTAGGGCCGGGGACTAGGAATCAGCCGCGGCTGAGGGCCAGAGAGCCAGCCGACCCACACCGACCCTCGCCCGGCTTGAACTGCTCGCTCCGCCCCCGAGCCCTCCCGGGCGCGTGCGCGCCAGCCAGCCAGAGCGCAGGGCGCGTGCTCGCGCCGGCGCGAACCTGGCGCGCCGAGCTCGAGGCGGTTGCAGCCAACCGGCGCGCGAGCGAGGATCAATCCTGAGGCTGCCCGCGCGTCAGGCACTTTCGCGTGGAAGGCGCCAGGCGGGAGGCTGGAGGCTGGTTGCAGCCGGTCCAGTTACCGCTCTTCTCTGGCGCTCGGCTCGTGCTCCTGCGTTGTGGAAGCCCTGGAGTAGGCGAGAATTGAAAATTACCTAGGGTCTCGAAAAATGGGACACACTAGATGGAAGGCGGGTACTGGGAGGACACGCTCTCTGGTCGAAGTACCGAGCCGCCCAAGGCCAGGGTTGGGCGGGCTGGGGGAATAACGCCTGCCGGGAGCCGAGGGCCGAGCTGCAACTGACGGAAAGAGACGAAACTCTGCCGGAGGCGGCCGAAGGTGAGCGCCGTAGGGAACTAGCACGCCGCTTCAGAGCCAAATCCCCGTTCAGGGCTCACTCGAGCAGCCCTCCGTTGAACTGCCCAGAACGTCGCCCCGAAGACTTTATGCCCCTTTCTCCCTCGTTACCATCCAGACCCAAGTTTTGCTCCAAAAGACTTTTCAAAGTCGCCGGCTGCGGGAAACGCGGGACCTCCGGGTAGTGCATGAGGCGGGCGGGTGGCCGACGAAGAGGGTGCGCCCGCCAGACCCAGAATAAGCTTGCCTCGTGGACAAGCCGAGGGTTCTCTGCCCCTTCCGGGTTCGCCAGACGCACTGCCCAAAGCCAGCGACTCAGTGAAGGACTTCTTATTCCCCAGCTGTCGTCTTCCCACTATGCTGCTGATCCCTCAGTCTCCGTAGATTCCAGCCTCCACCATCCCCCCAGAATCGGAATCATCTCAACTGTGCACGTAGGAGGCACTCGCCTCACAGCCTGCTAGTAGGGGGTTCCTTGAGAGGCGCTGACGGCTGGGATTCAAAGTGTCTGCATTGAAAAATTTATTAGAAACTGACACTACCTGACCTCTTGAGGCCAAGCCACGGGACCCTGAACAGACACCAACAAGAAGCCTGGGAGTGTGTAGAAAAGGGTGGACACGACAAACAGTGTTTTAGTTTTCACACGTTTTGTTATTTCACTCACAGTGCATGCAATAGAGTAGTACAGTAGGTACCCACCAACCAGGTTCATCTTTGTGGCTCTTTACATGGAAAAGGAAGGAGATCAAAACTGAAGCCCACTGACCTGGTCCTGTGCCAACAATTTTTTTAAGCCAAAACTACAGTTAGTTCAGGCTGGCCTTGAATTCACAGCGAGCCACGTGCCTCAGCAAGTGTCAGCACAGCTAGCTCCAATAATGCCATTTAAAGATCTGAAAAAATAAGGGCAGCACATGATGGCTTATACCTGTAATCTCAATACTTAGGCGGCTGAAGTAGGAGGACCATAAATTCAATACTAGCTTGGATTTGGTGACGTCTCAAAAAGGACTTGAGAGAGGGCTGGGGATTTAGCTCAGCGGCATAAGCGCCTGCCTTGCAAGCAGGCAGTCCTGAGTTCGATCCCTGGTACCCATAAAAAGGAAAAAGACAAAAAAAAGGGGGGGGGGGACTTGAGATACATCTCAGTGATAAAGTGTCCCTGAGTTCAATTCTCAGTACTTGTAAAGGAAAGGAGGGGATAAGGGAAAGAGAAAAACGGAAGCAAAAACAAAAGAGGTGGTCATTAGCCAGCCAGCTAGTGAAAGCAGTTGACCAGAGGTCTGCTCACAAGTGGCTTTTCTTTCAAAAACTCAAAAGCCATCAACTGAAATACCTGCTATGTTTTTATTCACTAAATTGATGTAAGTACCTAATGATAGGTATTGCTGTAGGCATTAGGTCACTTAATAAGATAACTAGCTACTAAGTAATTATAAGCAATCAGTTACAATAATGTGACAAGTTCTTATGCAAAAAAAAATACAAAGCGATGGAATACAAGAGTTGAAAGGAGGGCTGGGGATTTAGCACAATGGCAGAAGCACCTACTTGGCAAGTGAGGTTGTAAGTTTGATCTGTGGTACCAAAAAAAAGTACAAAGGAATGAGTGACTAATTTTTCCACAATTCCCTTTTCTGGCAATGCAGAATATGAGCAGAATAATATGACCTTCTTAATAGAAATTCTGTTTCATGACAGTTTTCTCACACGTAAAGTCACTCAGGAAATGCGTTCATTATGGAACCTACTGCAAAACCAATACAAGTTCTTTGGATGCCAAGTAAAGTTCCCATTCTTGACAACTCCAGTGTGTTAGGGAACTCTCAATGCCTCTCCTGAGATGTTGGTCTAACAGGAGAAATATTCTGATTCAAAGAGAAGTCAAATAAAAGAAGCCATGCTTGGTGGTGCATGCCTACAATCTCAGTGCTCAGAAGGTGGAGGTAGGAGGATCCCTAGGAGTTCAAGGTCAGTCTGAACTATATAGCAAAACCCTGTCTCAAAAAAAAAAGTAAAAGAGGAAGAAAGTAGATTAATCTATGATCACTAGTAAAATATGGCTAAATATCTAAAGTATTACAGTATTTAAAATGAATATGTGCTTTATGATTATATTTTAAAGCCAGTAAAGGAAAGCCTTTCACACAACACACTCTGGACAGCTGATGTGTTCCAGTAGGAAAGCTTAGCAGATAAACAAATAACTGGAAATTAATGAGATTGGAAAAATTGTATTTAATGTATTTCCTCCAAAAGAGAATTCTAAGTGTAAATGGGAGGAACATTTTGCTAAATCCTTGACTTGAAGTGGCAGTAGGGGGAGCCTTCTCAAAGATATCTGTTCTTCAAAGAGGAAGGTCACATAAAGGATGTCTCGCCCAGCAGAGTTGGCTAGAGGGATACTGTAATTCATGGTTCATTTTCGCTGTTTTTCCATGTACTGCTCAACCTTTCTGAAAGGACATTAAACAAATGTTTCAGAAATACTTTTTTTGGTGGGTCTGGTGGCACACGTGTAACTCCAGCACTCCAGAATCTGAGACTCAGGATTGCCACAAATTTGAGGCCAGCCTAAACTACAGAGTGAGACCCTGTCTGATTAAAAAATTTTTTCTTTCTGCCTTTGTCATTGTTTTTTCTTTTTTTAGAGGAGCTTGATACTGGGGGTTGAACTCTAGGCTTTGCACTAAGCCATATCCCTTTTTGAATTTTTTGTTTTGAGAAAAGTTCATACTAAATCACTAAGCTAGACTGAAACTTCTTATCCCCAGCCTCCCAGAACACTAAGATCACAGTCTTGTGCCCCATATCCAGCTTGCTATTGTTCTTTATATTACATGTACATTTCCTATTGTGTATATTTTACTTCATAATAAAATGAATTGATCATTGCCTGTGTTGAAATAATTATGAATTAGGCTGGGGATTTAGTTCAGCGGCATAAGTGCCTGCCTTGCAAGCAGGCAGTCGTGAGTTCAATCCCCAGTACCGGTAAAAACGAAAAAGACAAAAAAAAAAAAAAAGATAATTATGAATTGTTGAAAGTCTACCTATAAATTATATTGGAAGAAAGTACAACATATATTTGTGATGTACTCTGAAGAGAACACAAAATTTAAAAAAAAAAAAAAACACAAAATTAACCAAATTTGTAAAGTTACTAGAGTGCCTATTACATATTTAAAAAGGAAAATAATTTTGTCTTATAAAGGACCCAAAGATCCTTCCTAGTGTTTTCTTCTACAAGTTTTATACTTTTTTACTGTATAAGGTGGGAGGTTCATTTTTTTCATACATGGATGTCCAATTGTTATAGAATCATTTATTAAAAAGACTTTTCTCCACTGAATTGCTTTTCAATGTTGGCAAAAAATTAACTGACCATATATGAGTAGGTGTTCTGGGCTGTCGTGCTACATTATTTGTAACTACCAATGCCATACCATTTTGATTATTGTAACCTTAAGAATCTTATAGTCAATGTAACAAAGGTCTTTTTTGGTTTTGAAAAAAAAAAAGTCATTTTAAAATATCTGGGTGTGTAGCTCATTGGGAGAGTGCTTGCCTAGTGTGTTTGACCCCAAGCACCACAAAACATAAATAGTAAAAAATAGCATCCCTTTATCGCAGTTCAGCTTTTAGGGAATTAATTTTTCTACTAACCAAGTATCAGAACTAGAACTAAAAAGAAACCATGTTGGGCATGGTAATGCATGACTGTAATCTCAGTATTTAGGAGGCTGAGACAAGAAGATCACTATAAATTCAAGGCCAGCCTACACTGCATAGCAAGACCCTGTCTCAAAAAAAAATTATGATACAATTTTTACTTTGAAAGATAAAATCTGCAGGTTTTAACCTAATTTGATGTTTTCAGATAGATCCTTGAATGCTTTTTCAGTCGGTTGATTGGTTGGTTGTTGGCTGTTTCAGGATTGAACCAGGGCCTCCAAATGGAGCCATATCCTCAGCCTTTTATTTATTTTTATTATTATTTTGAGACAGGATATCACTTGCTAAATTGCACAAACGGCTCCAATTTGAAACCCTTCTGCCTCAGTCTCCCAGAGTGCTGGGTTTAAAGGTGTGTGTGCCACTGGCTTATCCCAGCCCTTTCTCCTTTTATTTGCTTGTTTGTTTTAAATTTTGAGACAGATTCTCACTAAATCACTAAATTACATAGGCTGGCCTCAGACTTGTAATTTTCCTGTGTCAGCCTCCTAAATAGCTAGGGTTACAGGTGTGTATCACCATTCTCTGTTCTTTTGTTTCGATATATATTTTTTTTAATATTTTATGTTTTAAATGATTACCAGGTTTTGTGTTGCTTTTTGGCTTGTTTATTTTGTGGGGGTTTTGGGTAGTACTGGAGATTAAATCTGGGGCCACTGACTATAGCCCCAATCCTTTTTAAATTTTTGAAACAGGGTTTCACTAAAACTGCTAAATTGCCCAGGCTGCCTCTCTTGTTGCTTTTGCTACCTTCAGCCACCATGAACTGTTGTCCCCTG